TCACGATGCATGCGTGTGGTGCTGCTGACATTGTGCGCAAAGAAAACAAAAATAACGACTTTATTCAACAATTTCTTCTCTTCTGTGTCAGACTTCGACGCTTATTCACGAGAGAACCACGACTTGTGCGTGTGCCTTCCTCTGCTTGTAAACAAGGCGCAGCGCATCCAGGTTCTACGACAGCAGCACCACACGCATGCATCGTGATACTGTCGTGAACGAAGAAAAGAAATTGTTGAATAAAGTTGATATGTTTGCTTTGTGCACAAAAAGTATTCTTGTAGCTTCATAAGATTAAGGTTGAACCACTGATGTCACATGGACTATTTTTCGATGTCCTTACTACCTTTCTGGGCCTTGAATGTGTCAGTTGCGTTGCTAACTATGGAGGGTCAGAAAGTGCTTGGATTTCATAAAAAATATCTTAATTTGTGTTTCAAAGATGAACAAAGGTCTTATAGGTTTGGATTAACATGAGGGTTATTAACAACAGAGTTTTCATTTTTGGGTGAACTATCCGTTTAATGTAGATTAATAAATGCTTTAAATTTTAACAAATGGAACCTTGCAGATAGCGCAGATGTGTCTGGTGTGACTGGTTTTTGAGGGCCTTTGATTTTGTGACCAATATGTAAGTACGTTACTGCATGTTTATTGCAAAAAAGTATTTAAAAATGCACAAATGTACTTGAATTTTATTCTAAATGACAAACGTGAAGTTTAGAACATAGTTCTGTTATTTTAGTGAAGTATCTATGTGAACTGAACCTGTATGAATGCCACGGGATAAAAAAAAAGGTATTTTTTGTGGTCCCCCCCCCTCACAATTCTGACTTTTTTCTCACAATTCTGACTCGAGTCTATATCTCACAACTCTGACATTCAGAATTGCTACATATAAAGTCAGAATTGCAAATCTGAGAGAAAAAAAAAAGTTGGAATTGTGAGAAAAAGTCTAAAAAACAATTGCAGTGTTCACTATGAATTTTGAGAAAAAAAGTCATAATTGCGAAATGTATACTCGGATTCAGAGAAAAAATGTCAGGATTATAAGATATAAACTCAGAATTATAAGATGTAAACTCAGAATTTCCAAAAAAAGGTGCAATTCTGAAGAATTCTGAATTTATATCTCACGATTCTGACTTTTTCTCAGAATTTCTCAGAATTGTGAGATGCGTTTCTTTTTTCTTTTTTTCCCTTAAGATTTATTTTGATCATTTTTGTCTTTATTGTGATAGGACAGTATATATAGACAGCAAGCAAAGTGAGAGAGGGAGGGTGCAATCAGAAAAGGTATGCGAACCGGGACTCGAACTGGGGCGCAACAGCACTATATGTCGGCACTCTGCCCATGAGGCTATCAGCATCAAATGAGACATGTATTTCTAACTAAACAAAGACATTCAGCTATTATAAAGTAAGCTTTGCACTTTTAAAGTTGCTTGCAAAAAATAAACCGTTAATTCTGAACGGTCAAATTGGAGAAAGATGCTTTTTGTTGCTGTCAAATGATTACTGTACAACATCAACCGGCAGGTGCTAACTAGGCCTATAGTCTATGCTAACCAGTAAAACTTTGACCCCTTGTTGGTGTAAAGGAGTCCAAAGAGTCATGTGGCATATTAATACATGTACTGGTAAAGATGCTCCTAAGCAAATAGGTGTGAATGCAACCTTGCATATGTGTCAGAATTAATTCAGCTGCTTATTTATGCAAGAGAGGTTGATTATGGAAAAATAGTGAAATTAGCATTTGATAAAGTGTCTCATGTTCACAAAGCCCTCTTTTGTGATGCTCACATTCCTCTTTGCCATACCCCATTTTTTCTCTCGTTTTCTTGTATAAACAAGCCTACAGTAAAACCCCATCTATTATTGCATCAGATCTTTTCTTCCATATTGTGATGTACTTCCGAGTGTAACGGATTGTTGAAGAAGGCAGGTTGTTGATCGGATTTGAGATGTGGGCTTGCAGCAGGGTTTAAGTGGATTAAATGATTGGAGAAGTTGTGCATACGTCACCAGAGAGAAGTCTGTCGTTTCACCGGAAAATCTAGTTAATGACGTTTTGATAAAAAATTACGAGGTCAAAACATGAATTGTTCAAACAAGATCAATACCATGCATTTAAAAACAGATTCATTTTCATTTCATGCCAACTTTAATGCCGTTTTCTGTATAGGCTCAAAAATGAAAATTCTCTTTGCTTACATTCATGTCTGTATGTTTCTGTAAGTTTCTTTCTTCTTTGCTGAACAAAACAGAACATTTTGAAGCCTGTGCCAGATGGATGCTCCTTTCGATGAAGTATCAATACTTCAAGGTTGACTAGAGATTCAAAAATATGCAAAAACAAGTAATGCATAATAAACGTAGTCTGTTTGACTTGTATGCTCTACGTTTACGGAAGCCATATGATAACCTGTGTTTGCTTTAAGAGTTTAATTTTGTCTTTCAAGAATAACATTTTACTTGATGTTATATAGATGTAGCCTTAAAGACTAAATAGTCAAACAGCTACAGCTTGTATCAAAGCAGGTTCTGCAGTAATGAGGCCTGACATGCAGGAAGCAGCAGCTAAGCCGAGATGTCAGAGCTCACGTGTGGCCCAGACAAAAGGAGTCCTGCTAAGAGTAATGATAATTTATTATAACCTCTAGGTTCGGTTACGGCATCCTACCTTTATATATTCATGCTCAGAAGATCGTCTTTTTAACAACCTTTATATTTTGTCGAAAAAACAACTATTTGTTGTTAGTCTTTTATATTTCTTAGTTGCCATCTTTTATGTCCAGAAATCTGTTATGTTCTCTTGGAAATCTTGCAGCGATTTGCATTCTGGCTCCACATCTTTAGGAAGGTTCTTTAACTCAGGAAAGACCCAGAGGGAGGAGGCCGGGGTGTGAACTCTACAGGGGTCTTACGGCACATGACTCAGGAGAAAAACAATCTTATGTCCCCACTCACCCATCCGTTCAGCCAAGCCTCTTATGACACACAGACAGATGGCAAGACCGCAAGTTCACCCTTAGTGCATTCGTAGAAAGACGCTCTCTCGGATGAATAAGCATCTCTACCCTTGCAATTTCCAGAAAATATGTTGTAACCGGGATAGGGATATCTTTACAAGCTGCAGTTTCTGATAAGAGTGACATTAGCAGGTGACTAGCCTTGAGTAGTTAGCTTTTTGTTTGTGGCCATTATTCAGCAACAAGCTGTTTCCTACCGCTGGCGCTGATTCCCAGAAGTCTTAACAGCCTGTGTTCAGGATATATGTGAATAATATACAAGCAAACTTTAAAGTATTTTTACTCTAAGAGAAAAGTTAAGTCACAAAATTTCTAAAAATTGACTTGATTGAGCAATCAAAAGAGCTGATTTGTGCTCTTCGTGTGCCAGTGGGCTTGAATCGGCACTGTGCAAAAGACTTGTGATTTTATGTATTAGATTCTTAGCTTTATGTAGATGATCAATTGAATTTGTCATTGCCGGCAGAGCCTTGATGAAAATAATGCTGGTTCAGATCAGAACCGTGGCCTTAGGACAGCAATGTGATATGCATTGTTCTAATTACTGCTGAATAAGAGCCATTAATCCATTTCCATCTGGGCCACCCATCAAGTTAACTGGATCATCCCAGATACCCTCCTGAGCTCTGTTCTTAGCGATAAGGTACTATAGATGTCCGACTGACTGACAGAGACAGAAATTTTGGATTTAGTAACCAAAATAATTACTTTTCACTCCATCCATGGTAATCTAACTTATTATCAGTACCAGTAGCAAGATGCAGTCTTTACACTACCATTCAAAAGTCTGGGGTCAGAAAGATATTTTTGTTTTTGACAGAATTTATTAGTTTTATGCTGAAAGTAACAGTAAAGACATTTATAACGTTACAAAAATATCTATTTCAAGTAAATGCTGTTCTTTTGAACTTTCTATTCATCAAAGAATCCTGAAAAAAATGTATCACAGTTCCCACAAAACTATTAAGCAGTTAATAAACTTTTCAACAATGATAAAAATAAATGTTTCTTAAGCATCAAATCAGCATATTAGAATGCTTTCTGAAGGATCAGTGAACACTGAAAACTGGAGTAATGATGCTGAAAATTCACCTTTGCCATCACAAAAATAAATTACATTTTAAAATATATTGAAATCAGTTCTTTTAAATTGTAATAATATTGTATTTCACAATATTAATATTTTAACTGTACTTTTGATCAAATAAAGGGAACCTTGGTGAGCATAAGATACTTAAAAAAAAAAAACATTAAAAAATCATACTGACCTCAGAATTTTGAAGTTATTGGCCAATATTGGAGACTTTTTAATTTATCTATCACTATTGAATATTACTTTGTTCGTGCTCATGTCCTCTATTTTTACATTTAGAATACCTTTTCCATAATTTAACATTCAACCTAAGTTAATCTTTAAAAACACCAATAATTTAATAACACTGTTAAATGTAATCTTCAGCAAACCCCAAAATGAATATCCATTTTTTTATAATGTACATTATAATATAATGATGCTTATTAAGTGCAATCACTTGTAACATTAAAAACTGATTCTAGTTTTAAGTGTTTTTTAATTTGTCTTCTATACAAAATAGCATGCCATTCATTTAGCAGCAAATTATCAGCTTATATTGGTTAGAATTTTAACAATCAAATACATTAACTACATTGTGTCTTCTGAACAGTTTGATTAGGTAAGACTCCAGCATTCAGCTGAATGTTTATCCATCACATACTGAGGCTGCTTAAGCTTTATTTATTTGTTCTGTGTAACCATATGCTATCAACTATAAGTGTCCTCGAGGGTCTTTCACTGACAATGTGCTAAGTTTGTCTGCTCTTTTATGCAATGGCCAAGTTCTAGTCATGTGTACAAAGGCTCAGCAGATTCTGATGCAGTCTCAGAGTGATTAAGAAGGCTTTTCGTTCTATCCTTAGCTTCCCAAGGACCGATTAGCAGGTAGGCCCCCAGTGGGACAAGTGCTTTTCAGCTGGCAGTTCATAGCAGCTTCTGCTCCTTCTCAACTCTCATTGTGTGGAAACTCAGAAGATGCTTTTCTGAGCTCTTGGTTTTCTCAACATTCAGATCATGGTTCTTATCATGGTGAGTATTTTGCAGTCCTTTGTAAAGGACAGTTTGAGTTTACATTGGAGAATGTCCTGGATCTTTTAGATTGCAGTTAGTTGAAACCATCAAGGGTGCTTTCAGAGTCATTACCTTGACCTTGGCTAAACCTCATTGGTTTAGAATATTTCTATGGTAACAGTAACAATTGTCTCCAGTTTTTGAGCTTCAGTTGGTGTTTTTGATGGTCTTGATATTCAGTAGATCTGAATTATGTGATTACAAGGATATCAACACAGGTGCATGCAATAATACTGGAGTATAATGAGAAACATCATTGCAGTTATCTGGGATGCATTGAAAGTATTGTGCCAGTCAGAGTTGAAAACTTCTGCCTGCATTTACAATGTTCTGTGGATATTCATGATGTTTAAAACGTCCTTAGCTCAGGCTTGTTTAACATCTTTTTCATATGCTGTTTTGAGCTTACAGATCCTCTGTATCACAAGAATTTACTTGTTTTAGGTAACATAATTGATAATCGGAAATGTGTTTAAAAATCATATCACCGTTATTGAAAAAAATTATATCGTGATACATGTTGATATTGAATTATTGTCCAGCCCTAGACGACGGTAATTCTGCAAACAGCAGTATACTTGATAACGTCCGTCAACTCGCCTTGGCTACTCTAACCACTAAAGAGACATCAGAGCCAGCGGCAAATGTCAGAAGGACTAGCCGAGTTGATGGCTTTGCTGTTGCTGCTCTCGTCGGGAAACATGAGAACTGAGAGCCCGCTGATCGCGTGGAGCTCACGTCTCCGAAATCGGCGAAGCACATTTTTAAATAGGTACTGTCTTTATAAATAACCCCGCAGATTTGAGTTTTAAACAACTACATTCTCGCCTGAAATACTTTTAAAACTACAATTCATGACACAATAACAGTAATATTTTGAAAATTATCCAAATAAATGGTGGTTGAAATACAACGCTGCGTGAACTCAACCAATCAGCATGTTTAGTCAAATCTACAGTAAAAAAAAAACTTTCCTTTTCTTCAAATGTTCTCATCAAAAGCAGATATTGGAACAGGCCTCGGGGTAATTTATTAGAACATCTTTTTTTTCCAGAAAGAAGGATGCAGATTGCCAGATTCAGTTTTCCTAGTTCCACATTTTGTAATCTGAATCACATCAGTGACACTGAATTACATCAGTGATACTTCAAATGTAACTTCTTAAAGTAATTTTTGCTATCCTGGAATTATGACATTGATCATAGGACATTTTGTTCACTATATCATTTTGCACATATGTACTTTTTTCCCATTGTGTCCTAGTTTTTGATAACCTAAGCCACTTTTCCACCGAAATTACCTGGAACAATTTGTCCTAGGAACCCCCCCCCCAGACCTGTTGCTGTTTGCGTTTCCATTGCGGTCTAAAGTACCGTGAAGAATAGACAAATAGTCTGGTGATGTATAGGTCTGCACGCGTTTCTCAATACCAAGTAGGCTACGCAAATTTCGGACTTGCATCCTCGGTAGTTCAGACTTTGCGAGTTCGGGTGAACTCCCGCGGACGGGACGACGGTAGGGCTGGACGATATGGCCAAAATTGATATCACGATATATTTCTTAATTTCGGTCGATACGATATAATTCCGATATCGATATGAACAGCTGCGTGAACTCAACCAATCAGCATGTTTAGTCAAATCTACAGTAAAAAAAAAACTTTCCGCCCCCGAAAGTTCCGGACCTTTGAAAAAGTACTACCTCACGAGCAGGGACTTTCTGAGGGGCAATTTTTTACCTGGAACTTTATTTAGATCCTGGTTCCTGCGGTGGAAACACACCAAGTACCGGCCCAAAGTCCCTAGTTCCTGGGTAAAGTTTCTGCGGTGGAGACGGGGCTCTATATTGATTCAACTACCATTGAATGTTGATTTTCTTGTATATATATTTTAATAGACTCTTATGCTCACCGAGGCTGCATTTATTCTAATTCCCAAATTTAATTTATCCCTGTAATGGCAAAGCTGAATTTTCATCTGCCATTATTCCAGTTTTCAGTGTCACGATCTTTCATGATTCTAAAATACTGATTGGCTGCTCAAGAAACTCTTCTCATTATCAATGTTGAAAACAGTTTAATTAACAGTTAATATTTTTTGTGGAAACTGTAATGTTTTTTGTCAGGTTTCTTTGATGAACAAAGTTCAAAAGAAAAACATTTATTTGAAATAGAAATCTTTTGCTGTCCTTTTTGATCAACTTCATGCATCCTTGCTGAATAAAAGTACTGCATTCTTTACAGAAATCGTACTGACCCCAAATAGTTTTTAATGGTAGTGTATATTAGGCATTATTATGTGCTTTGCAAGACTTGAGTCCGAGTTGGTCCTGTTATGCAATAAACTTCTCAGGCTGTGTCATTTCCCTGTTTTTGTTCTGATAGCTTGAGTAGAAAAAGAGAGCTGGAACTGAGGATTTGATTTTTTAAGAGATCATGGTCTTCTTTTCAGTTTGTTTAAAAAAAATGTATATGTGGATCAGAATATAAGAATATCAGAATATATATTAATGGTTTTGTGTTAGATTTCACTGATTTAGAGTTCTACCCTTTCTTTGAACAAATCAAGTCTTTCTGTTTCTGACTTTCATAACGTTGCTTTCTTAAATCACACAACTTGGTAATATTTAATTTTCACATTTGTACTTGAATCAAAAATAACAATAGGCTTCCACTACAGCTTCATCCTGTCACATGTTGCTTCCACTTTCTCCCTGCACTTGTAGATAAGCTCTTTAGTCTAATTCAGGCGAAGTCTGCTCTTTTTATCCCTGCTTAGTCTCTGATATCTGTCCATCATTTCTGTGTCTTGAGCTCAGTAATGCTCCCTTAGCTGTAGCGTGTGCCAGGCACAAATGTACTGTCATGATGTGCCAGTGGGATTCCTGCAGATGTACCTGTTTAAGGTCACGTGTTAAATCTGGATTTTTTTGTTGTTTTTGTTTTAGCTTTGGTTTGACGTCAACGCTACAGATACTTGAGTTTTAATAGTTGCAATGGGCATAAAGCACTTAGACTCTGTGCCCTTTTCAGTTCTAAAGGTACTTATGTAAAGAAACTTGACTGTGCATGGAAGTGATTGAGAAAAGACTTTAATGAGATTCTGGTAGGAAAAGTGGGATAAAAGTGGGTTCAGGTACAAATTTTTTTTAATTTAAATATAAAGTATCAATTATTAATCCAAAAACTCTTCATTTCATGACAGTGCAAATGTTCCAATATTGTGTTTGGATCACTTAGCAGAGAATTTTAAATCCCGTTAAGAACAGGATCGAGTTAAAAGCATTCAGTCTTTTTTAAGCTTGTGAGTTTATCCTCTTGTTTAAGCTTATTAGTTTATGCCCAAGTTTATCAGGATTGTCTTTACACAAGAAATATTCTCTTAATATTTCTGCCTAGCATCCATCTGGTGAATCTCCGCTCTCTATCCAACAAAACGGACGAACTTCTTCTGCTCTCCCGGACAAATAAGGATTTTTCACACTCTGCTGCTCTGTGTTTCACGGAAACCTGGCTGAATGACGCCATTCCGGACAGCGCGCTACAACTGCCTGGCTTTCAGTTGTTTAGAGCAGACCGCGACGCAGAATCAACGGGGAAATCGCGCGGTGGCGGGACATGTTTTTACATCAACGAAAGGTGTTGTACAGATGTTACAGCGTTAAAGAAGATGTACTGTTCCGATCTAGAAGCGCTTTTCATTAACTGTAAGCCGTTCTATTCGCCGCGGGAGTTTCACTCGTTCATTCTCGTGAGTGTTTACATTCCTCCGCAAGCGCATGTGAATATGTGCAAACATACTTGGCAATAAAGCTCTTTCTGATTCTGATTCTGATAAAATGGGGTCCAAGTCTCAGATTTGTAGTAAAAATGTTTGAATTTTGCAATTTTATAAAGCATTTTTATTCATGTAAATATTTTTCTTTTCTATATTGTTTTAGATATTTTATTATATACTTTTATTCTAAAAACGAGAGTAATATAGCTGAATGAAATCAACATAAATTCCAGAATTTCTTAAGTATTTACTTGTAAGACATCATGATGATCATGTTATCCAAAGAGCACCAGTGGAAGTGAGAACATCTGAAATATGCATAGTTATTAATTAAATCACCTAGAAATAGTGCAGAATCTTTTTCTTATAAAGTTTCTTATTCAGTTTACATAACATTTTTGTTTACTTTTACTTTATTCTTGAATCTGAAAAACTTGTTTGTTCCAGGTTTAAATTGCATTTTAAATTCCAGATACAGCCCACATTCTTACGTAGTTCATACTTGCACATTTGTTTCATGGGCCTTAACCATTTCAGTTGCATTTCTGTCCAATTTGCATCATTGCTCTAATGTTCCCTGGGCTTGACAACCTAATGGGCTTGACGCAGAATTACTTAATGCATTGTTAGTGATATTAACCTGGGCATGTGTTTTATGCTTTTGTCTTTTACAGAGTGGAAGGAGAGGATGAATGAGTGTGCTAGGCCAGAGAGTATAGCCCTGCTATGTTCTCCTGTGGTCCCTTTATCATCTGATTAAACCTATAGTCAACTGACATCTACCACAGGCCGTTGGATGAAGTTAAAATGGCCTCTCACAAGCAAAGCTTTCAATGCTTTGACACCATCACGGACGACCCATCTCTCAAGACCCCTTTCCCCCATGGACACTGCTCCTCAGCATCCTTCAGAGGCTCATCCGGCTCGACTAGACTGGAGTCGCTGGAGGATCATGGATGCTATCTCTGTGCCGATCACCAGCAGGCCAAGGCGATGGCTTCAGAGGCCACAGGAGCTTACTCGAACCCATGGTATCATTTCCAGACACATCCACACTCTCAGCAGTATACAGTCAGGAGGCCCACTCGACCTGAGGAAGCTCCTGGGCAGGTTGAAGATCACCACCACCACCACCATCACCATCATCACAGGCACTCCAGGAAGATTGTACTTGTGAAAAACAGCGACCCCTCTGTCCGGAGGACCATCGTGCTGCACCGCAGGAGCCTGCGTAGTCTGGTGCTCTTCATGGACGAGGTCTCTGAACTCATGCAGTGTCTCATCAGGAAGCTCTACACACTGGAAGGCCACAAGGTCAGTCTCTTCTGGGAATATACACTAACATTCAAAAGTTTGAGGTCAGTAAGATTTCATTTAGAAATTAACTCTATTATTCAGCAAGGGTGCATTAAATATATAAATATTTCTATTTCAGACAAATGCTGCTTTTTTATTTCTATTCATTAAAGAATCCTGAAATATATATATATATATTAAGCAGTTCAACTTTTTATCTGTCAACATAATAGTGTTTGATAATAATATTTCTTCAGTAGCAAATCAGCATATTAGAATGATTTCTGAAGGATCATGTGACACTGAAGACTGGAGTAATGATGCTGAAAATTCAGCTTTGCCATCACAGGAATAAATTACATTTAAAATATATTAATATATAAAACCTTTAATCTTCTTATATTTCACAGTGTTGTTGTTGTTGTTGTTTGTGTGTGTGTGTTTAATTATTAATTTATTAATGTTCACAGTTACTATAGAGGAAATTAAATGTTTGCTTTGGCAGAAATGTACTCGGCTTCAGAATTTATTAATTGAATCCCTTTCATTTCTGTCTGAAGTTGAATTGTACACAAGTACAGTACAGATTGTTGAATTACAGGAAGTGAAATTTTACTGAATTAAACGTAATGTGGAGTGGAGGTGGGGATATAATCACCATATCAACTACTTTTTTATAGCTACTACTGTAGATCCAGTAAACAAATATGCACATACTGTACCTTTAAACTTCAAGACTTTGATTTGATTTTTAGCTCGATTCATTTGATTTGAACAAGGGTTGCGCACTAAAATAAAATTATACAACAAGACTAACACACTCTTAAGAGAGGATCTACTAAGTTGTATCTGTAGTCTGTATCTCAGACAAACTGAGTCAGAACTTAAAAAAAAAAGAAAAAAAGGCCATGAAGCCCCTGTCCACAGTAAATATTGTCAGTCAGTCTTTAGGTTCGCTTATTTGTGTCTACCTGGTTGTGTCTAACATTAAGACAGTGTTATAAAATGTCTCAGATTGTAAATAAAGTACATGGAGCTATTTACATGTATATTAATTGACCCAAATTATGTAAGAACGGCTGTTGTGCAGAAGCAGCAAATGTTCTAAGGACACAGAGGCCTCTAGTGGCTGAAACCGGAAGCTCTGATACAAATATTCAACAGGCTTTGGAGAAGTTAGGCTAGCAAATCACAGCTCTCACTTTAGTTAAAAACACATGTTTACAGGAAGCTAAGTATTTGTAAGTGACGCCACATCTGACAGCTGGAAAGTCCCAAAGCTGTGGGACCACTAAACTTGAACTCTTTCATTTGATTTTTGTACATTAGTTATTTCAGTCAAGCAAACAAAGTGACAGTCGCTACAAATCGAGTTGTTTGATTTATGAAGTGCTGATAATGCGGAGAACAAGATTAGTTGAGCAGATCAGTCAGCGTAAAGTTCATTTTAGTTACTATCACTCCCACTAGCGCTTAAGGGCAAATGCCACAGACCACGGAAGAGGAAAAAATAAAGAATTACAGTCTGCAGGTGGTTTGGGTAGATAAGAGGTGGACAGTGTAAGAAATAGCCCCTCTGGGACAAAGCTATGGCAACCCTGATAAAAGGTGAGAGGCTAGGAGTTTATACATCCCCGAGGGGCAACCAGAGGCTGTTCCACAAAATCAAGACATGTCTCTAAGTGTTCGCACGCAACGGGTACGGCACAGTGTGCCACGGTGCTAATGGTGGCATCACACTGTACGCAGAGAAAGTGCTAGCTGTCCCTTTAAAAGGGGAACACTTCTTGGCTTGGAGTCCACAGAATGTCTGGAGTCGATCCAAGCATTTCCTGTCCATCAGAGCTGGACTCACTAGTCATTGCTGACTCTGGTCAGCGCTGCTGGTCCTCTGTGGGTCTAGAGCAGGCACATCCTATTAGCACTGCCACAGGCCTGTACTTCCCATAGAAAACATGCTGTAAAGTGGCACACACCCCTCCACAGGGGCCTGACTTATACATGGATAACATTACGAATGGCACAGAGACAATGCCAGAAATAGCTCGACCAGCAATAGAGTAAAGGTTTATTTGTCACTGGCTGAAAGTTGAACATGTAAGAGAACAAGAACAAAATCCAGCATGACCCTCGTGTGTCTTAGAAGATATAAAGTTTTGTGCTTCGGTTGCTGGGAAAGACAAATTTTAGTATACAGTTAGTTTTCAGGGCTCTAGACTGCAAATAAAATGGTTGCAAAAAGTTTATCAGTTTAATGTAAATTTTATTTCAAATGTAGTCTCTATTAATGACAGTTTGGAAAAAGCAATTGTGAAGCAATTCTTTTTAATGTGTCAGTCAAAATGAATAAATAAATCACAAAACGGGGAATTGTTCAGAGTGACTGATTTCCCCCTTAATACTAAGTCATTTGTCAATTATGTTCCATTATTAATGAACCGACAGCTATTACTTGTTGTAAAGAATACATATTCTTTTTTATTTTTTTATTTTTTTTAAATAGCATTCTGAAAAAAAATAATATATATATATATATTATTGGTCATTGATTAGAATAGTAAGGTCCAAATACCTGTCAAATTGAAGATATACTAAAACCATATAAACAAAATATACATACACACACACATACATTTAAATATATTATATTTAAAATAAATATGTTAATATATATTTAAATAGGCCGTAATATTCTTACAAAAAAGAGTGACATTTATCTATGCCACAATACAGTACAAATCTGAACAACCATCTTAGTCAAGTGATATACACATTTTCATTCTGTGTACAGGCTGTTTGTAACATTATTTTAGCATTCTCATCTTTGATACACTCTTTTTAAATATCTTTGAATACATCTTTCTGGCTGTTCTTGTTAGATATGATCAGGATATTCCTTTACTAATACACAGCAGTGATGCACCAGCATCCAGAGAATAACTATTAATCTTGCTCAAATCAGAGCTATTTTGAACCAGCAGAAGCAGGTCAATGCCATGAAAACATACAGTTTGAGATACTCGCATCCTCTACAGTTCCAATTAATTATCTTCAAACCCACTGGAAAATTGAAAAGTTTTGAAAATATAAAACTGCCGAGCATGCGGATTTAACATAAGGTTAGTATTGTGTTAAAGAGTGATATGTGATGTTGATGTGTTTTTTTTTTTTTACTCCATATATATACAGTATATTATGCTTTCATGAGTTTGGAACCTGATTCTGCAGTAGATGTTGTTGGATTACTACAATTAAAAATGTTTTTTTGGACATACTACTCATGTTTCTTAGCTTTTTCTTTCCCAAAAGCCTTAAAGAAGACAGCTATTTCTTCATTAACCTAGTGAAAAATGTATTTGAAATGCATTTATTTCATACTAAGTATACTACAAATACATTTACATATTTATTTACTTAATTAAAATACCCTGCAATTATACTTTTAGTATACTAAACTGGTATACTTATACTGCTTTAATTGTGCGGAAGTAGTGCTGAAGTCCAACTAAAGATATACTGAAGTATATTTGATTGTGCTAAAGTGGAACTACTGCAAGTATACTTAAGGTACACTTTGAATATCTTGCATTTAAAGACCAATGCTATTCAAAAATCATACAGTCCTCATCAATAGTGACATAAAATTTTGCAAACATTTTAAGCTTAACATGGCTTGTGCATTTGTGCACAAGTAGTACTCCAAATTATTATTATATCAGCATATAAACAGATATTTTATATCAGTAAGTCCCGAGCGATATGTCAGTAAATATGTTAAATAGATTTGAACTATACTTAGTATGAAATAAATGTATTTTAAATATATAACTTTTTTAGCACAAAAACTGACCTCAGATGAACTCTGATACTATTTGATTTGCTAGTTGATGTTGATTTCTTTTAAATAAATATAGATATAGAGTCATAATAGTTTTATAATTAGGGACAAAGGATTTTGATTGACCTGTGACCTATTTGTCTGTACACCTGCTGACCCATGGGTACTGACTCATGTACCTAAAACACCCTGCATAATGGATCACACACAGTTTCAGATCACTGTTTTCATAATTAAAAATTAGTGTGGGAAAATGTATACACCAGATGGGTTGACTTCCCATGGCCATTAACCTTTAATTGGTATGGCTTCAATCCATCATAACACATTTCTTCATCAGATCTTGGCAGTCGTAATAATCCCTGCTGATTTAATTTCAGCCAGATATTGCTGATCTCAATCAATTCGATTCTGTCATATTGTAATCAACCAGCAGCACAGTCTATGTAATGTAGCGAATGATTTGCATGTTTTTCAGATTGACAGTGTGCAAAGTCTGCTGCAGTGCCCGAGCATTTTGGTTTGTGTGGGACGTGAGCCTTTCCACCCACTCCTGTTGGACAGCTTCAGGAAGAACTCTTATGACAAACTTCCAAGACTGAACACAAAGCAACGCTCTAGTGTCTGCAGTGATGAAAAGGGGGCCAAGAAAAATGGTAGGTCACACTGCAAAAAGTATTTTTCATCTTACTTTACAGAAAAAATGAACTAAACATCCTCAAAACAACATAAATTAGCATGAAGCTAAAATTTTAAACAGAAGAGAATAAATGTTCAGTTATGTTTAATTTTTCTAACCCGTGTGGTAAAGTTTTATTTTATTTTATAAAAGTATTATTTATTTATTTATTTATTTGTTTTACATTTAAACTTATGCTTAAAACAAGAAAAAAGTATTTGCCGTTGGAATAAGAAAAATAAACTTAAAATTTATACCAAGACTTGATTTCTTATACAGCTTATTTTTTTAAAATAGAAAACAAGAAAAAATCTATAAAATTATATGATGATTTTGTATATTTATTGTAATAGTTATTTACTTTATTTTCTTACTTGTAGTCAACTTTGGACTTAAAACTAAAAGAAGTGTCATCCATCCAAGGTGTGATTCAAGCAACAGATCAGCAAGACTATTCATCTCATCTGAAAAGTTGTTTCCCAATGGACTTAACTCATTACCACCAGGGCACAGAGGTGCTTGTCCTCATCCAGGAGAAAATACGATGGATGATGACATTGAAAAGCGAGTTCTGGTCAACAAAGACGGAAGCCTGTCAATGGAGATGAAAGTGCGCTTTCGACTATTACACAACGAGACATTGCACTGGTCCACAGAAGTGAAGAAGGCAAAGAGCACTTTTAATGAATCCCATATTGTAGCTGATGATGCTTGTTCCCTCTCGCATGGCAGTGCAGAGAGCTGCTCAGAAGCGGATTCTCTCTCTGCTGGCAATGGCGATCTAGCAGATGAGACATACAGCACCAAACGTTACCAGAGACACTTTGAGGAGCCTCATTGCCAGCACTGTTGTGCTCACTGTCAGGAATATGATATCTGGAAGAATCCTGTACCTCCTGATCAAGGATCAGTAAGAAGAATCAGATCTTCAAGCTCAAGTGCGTCCTCGCGGAGAATAGTGCGCAAAAAGGCATCTACTGACAGCATACGCACAATGTCCAGTGAGGAGTACACAGAGCATGTAGTGGAAAAGGCAACTTGCATTCAACGGACCTTTGGGCAGCAGGGTGACTCCACCGTTGAACAATGTACCATCAACCATTGCCACAGTCGAAGTGAAGTACGCTCAATGTCCCCTAAAACAAAGAGCACAAGTGCTGTAGAAGACAAGCCTGAGAACACTCATGTATCTGAAAATGACGAGAACAGACCTGATGTCATATCCTCTAACCTCCCTAAAGATCAGTTAAGTGTTCAGATTACTCAGCCAGTGGAGGAAGAGGAGAGGCCTGTATCTGTTGTGAGTTCTTCTTCTCAAATTTTAGCATCACTGAAGGAGGATCAAGATGATGAAGATGTTGACCTTTCTCTGAGCATCTCGAGAACATCCCATGGCCAACAGGAAGATAAGGAGAGCAAAGATGCAGAACCAAACCCATGTTCTACTACACCCTGTAAATCTCCTGCATCTCCTGCACATTTGTCACCAAGACCACCAAGCAAAGCTTCATCTTTAGGACGGTCTAAAAGATCCAGAAAGTTGGTCAGTCCAGAAGTAGATGATGAAGAGGGCAGGTCTGAAGCATCTGCTTCACCCAACGCATCATCTGGATTAAAAAATGTGGTCACCATGGACTTAGCATCTCCAGGGGATTCTGAATCAATTGATCAACTAGAAGACATTCAACACAAAACTGATGTGCAAGATGAAGAAAAAAAAGAAAGGGCACTAAGCGCGCTGTCAGCCAAATCAAAAACTTCTGTGAAGTCACTGTCTGAGTTATCAGCCTCTTGTGAGAATGAAAATGCCGCTGAGTATACTGGAGCAAACAGTGAAATAATAGAGGAGCGATCCTCGAGTGCTATCTCCATAACATCCAATATCTCTGGAAAATCAAATAGAACAAATGTTTCAGAGGTACTTGAAAAGGATGGAAGAGCACCCAGTGCCATGTTAGTAAAATCTCAGAGATCTGACAAATCAAGAAAAACCGACATCTCAGACAATGTGTCTGAGGGACAAATCTCTGAAGTAAGAACATCAAGTGCTATGTCTGTTAAATCAAATATGTCCGTAAGGTCAAAAGTATCAGATGTTGGCTTTGTTGAGGCTTTACAAGACAATGTTGAGGAGAGGGCCGTAAGTGCTGTGTCATCTAAATCGAATATTTCCGCTACATCTAGTCAGTCTAAAGAGCCACAGTCTGTGCCTGATGGGGCATTAGAGGAAAGAATAGAAGAAAAAGCTTCAAGTGTTAAATCTGGAACATCAAACACATCTGGAATCAAAGCGGTGACAAATGATGATCAAACAGTGGAGAGGGCTCCCAGCTCCATTTCGATAAAATCAAATATTTCTGCAAGATCAAAAATGTCAATTGAGCTGAGCGAGCTTGAAGATCAAGACAGAGCCCCCAGCAGCATTTCTGTCAAATCAAATGTCTCACATAAATCAAAGTCTGACATGTCAGAAGCAGCATCTTTCCAAGGAGATGAATCTTTAAATTCAGTGAAATTAAACACACCTGAAGCTGAAGCAGCTCCTCAAACAGAGCTACCAGGGGAGAGATCGCCAAGCTCTGTGTCATCAAAATCAAATATCTCTACAAGATCCAGAACATCCAAAAATGTTGAGGTAGACCAAGACGAAGCACAGGAAAAAGAAGATGTTCAGGAAAGAGCATCAAGTGTTATTTCAGTAAAGTCTACTACATCTGCAAGATCAAGGAAATCTGAAACAACACCAAAATCAGGAGAAGAAATGAAGGAACGAGCTCCTAGTGTTATGTCAGTCAAATCAAATGCTTCTTTAAAATCAAATAAGTCTAAGATGGAGGAGGAAATATAAAACAGAGCCTCCAGTGTTTTGTCTGTTAAATCTGAAGAAAAATCTAATCAGTCAGACATAGAGCAAATGGAGAAAAGACCATCAAGTGCAATATCAGCTAAATCAAATGTTTCTGTAAGATCTAAAGGGTCCAAAATGTCAGAGGTGGCAGGAGATGATGATCGATTATCTGCAGCAGCATTACATACCTCTGAAACATCAAATGAATGCAGCACAGCACCTGAAGAAGCCTGCAAAGGCACAGAGAAGTCACCAGACAAAGAGAAAAGAGCACCAAGTGCATTGTCAACAAAATCCAGTAACTCTGCTAAATCCAAGAAATCCAAAATATCTGATATGGCTGATGATATTGTAGCTGGAGATAGAGATGATTTGAGATCTGCAAGTGCAATGTCCTCTAAATCGAATGTATCTGTGAAATCAGCGGTCTCAGAATTGGTCACAGAAGAGCCTTTAGAAGCACAGGACCAAACAGAAGAACGGGCTCAGAGTGCATTATCAGCACAATCCAATCAGTCAGGAGTGACTGTAAGTGAGGGAGTTGAAGTTGCAGAGGAACGGGCACTGAGTGCCATGTCATCTAAATCCAATGCTTCTGAAAGACCAAAAAAATCCAATAATTTAAAAGTGCCAACTGCTTTGCCTCAAGCAGCAGAACACCAAACAGTGGAACGAGCTCAGAGTGCATTGTCAGCTAGATCAAGTGTTTCAACAAGATCCAATAAGTCCAAAATTTCAGATGTTTTAGCGGATAAGCTTGTTGACGTGAAAGACAAAGAAGAAGAGAGAGCTTCGAGAGCTTCAAGTGTTTTGTCTGCAAAATCCAGCATTTCCGCAAAGTCAAAGAAGTCAAATGCTTCTGCAACAGACGTCAAAGCTGATGACAAAGAAAAAGGAGACAGAGTACCAAGTGCTATGTCAGGAAGATCTGATATTTCTACCAAAACCAGTATCTCTGCAAAATCCAAAGCATCAAAAGTTTCAGAAGTACCACCAGAGGAGCCTGATGATGAAGAAAGTGAAGTAAAAGCACCAAGCATTACTAAATCCAGCATTTCAGTAAGATCCAATAAGTCAAAGCATTCAGAAATGGGTGCTGAAGAAGAGGTTCAGAACATAGAGAGACCTCCAAGTGCAATTTCAGTAATATCTGATGATACACATGATGAAAATGAAATGACAAATGACAGTGAAATCCAAGAAAGGTCTCCAAGTGCTGCATCTGCAAAATCACGTTCCTCTGTAAGATCCAGAACATCAAAAGTTTCTGAAATGTGTAGAGAGTGGAGAGCATCAAGTACAGCATCAGTTACATCTGAAACATCTGCAAGATCTAAAAGGTCAAATATTTTAGTAGTTGCTCCTAAAGAAATTGGAAACACAGATACTGGAGATGTCCGAGCATCAAGTGCAATGTCTGCAAAATCTTGTGCATCTGAGAAATCAAAATGTTCAGAAAGAACAACTGAGGAGGATGAAGAAGCAAGTAAAGTGGTAGACAGAACAACCAGCTCTTTGTCTGTGAAGTCAAATCCATCCATAACATCTGATGCCACTGTTAAATCAAGTGTTGTGCCTACTAAATCAAATGCTTCTGCAAAATCCCTCCTCTCAGAAGCTGAAGAGCCTGACAGAAGATCAACAAGTGTGGCCTCTAATGCATCTGCAGAAACTAAAATGTCTAAAGCAGGTGTGAACACACAAGCAAACCGTTCACCAAGCAAATTGTCAGTTAAATCAAATGTATCTACAAGATCCAAGAAGTCTAAAGTTTCTGAGGGTGAGGACCATACACACACAAACACTGAAGATACAGAATTAAACAGAGATGAGAGTCCGTTGTCCGATCACTCAAAAGTATCTCAAACAGAGAACTCAAATGAATGTATTTGTGGTGCAATAAACAAACCATCAAGTCCAGTGGCATCTTCTGAAAAAAACTTCGACCATGAAGAGATACCTGCAAGTCCTCTGTCTAAAAAGTCAGCAAAGTCCAAAGTCAGTTCAGTTGGTTCTGCCTCTGAAAGAGTTTTAACACCAACAAGCACCTCAGTTACTATTGGGATTGTTGAAGACCATGAGGCTGATGATGTTGAGGAAATAGATGGAGGTGCTGTTTCAATTAACTCAAGAATGTCTGCTTCTTCAAAGACTGAACTATGTGGTAAATCTGACCAGTGTTTATCAGAATATCCAGTAGAAATCACAAATGAAGCAACACTGACACCAGAGAAAAGACCTAAAAGTTCTGCATCAGCTAAGTCAAATGTCTCAGGTAAATTGAAGTCCAAAAGCTCTCATTGCGGCTCTACATGTCCTACAGACACAATTCAGGACAGAGATGATGTAGCAAGTAATAAATCCTCCAAAATAAAGTATTTAATGACATTATCTGTAAGCCAACCATCAGCCAACAGTTCAGTGAGGCAGAGCTCTCAAACCCAGGGGATTCGTCCATCTAGCAAAGCTTCCGATATGTCTGTACACACTGAAATCACAGGTCAAGAGAAAGCTGAAAGTCCAGATGTTACCCATAAATCTCAAAGTGTCTGTTCAAAATGCAGTTCTACACAACAGAAAGGAAAAATTTCACGTGCTTCAAGTGCCTCAGCAATCTCAGACTCTGATAAATCCAAAATGAAAGAAGGAAATACTGCAGAAATGACTGACAGACCAAAGAGTAATATATCCAGTTCATCTCGTTTGAAAGTAAATGGTCAAAAGAATGATGTCGAAGCCACAGTTGTTAATGAAAAAAGCAATAAATTAAACACCAAGTCAACACAGAAAGTTGAAGACAATGCACCCAAGTGTCATTCAGCGACTTCTGTTACCTCAGGAAACCAGCTAAGTCCTAAAAAACCAAAAAAATCCAAAAAACCTGTTATTCTACTTGGAAGCTCTAATGATAGCATGTTATCGCAGACCGTCCCTGCTCCAGAACCAAAAGAAGAATATATTGACCATTTGAATGCAGCAGAAAAAAAACCTCAGTCTTGTAGATCTGATACAAATATCAGTGAAATTAAAAGTGAAAAAAGTAGCGAATGTAGAAAAATAATTGGAAGTGGCTCTTCTTGCCACAAGATGGATGATGACATGTCTGAGCTGAGTCCTTTTTGCTTGCCAAATGCTTCTCCAACTGAGGTGGTGAATGAATGGCTGAGGAAAATCCCATCAGACACCACCTTGTGTGATTTGGGCGACGAATTCCATGACAGTTATGATTCGATAGAGCCACTTTGCACATCACATGTGCCATCAGGAGATGATAATCAGCATGGAAGTTTGCGGCCGAGTGATGTTACCAAGATTGAAACACAAAATGAAATGGAAGATGCTCATGTGGTGAATACAGAAGGGGCTACTGACAAAAAATTTCCTGAAGTTGCTGAGGATGATCACTCTCAGAGAGGGGATGAACCAAAGATGTTTGATTCTTCGGTTCTGGTGATGAAAGTCTTGTTGAGCCCCAAACTCGACCGATGCAATAGCCTACCAGAGGTATCTTCTGTATATGGACGTAAGCTCAGTGCATCAGCGCAAGGTCTTCTGGATTGTTTGGCAAATCTTCAGTTGTTAGACTTTGGTCCTAGTGATGAAGACGGTAAAAAGGAAAAATACCAGGAGCTCATGAGCATGCTCAAGTCTCTTTGGCTTTGTGACCCAAAAAACAGTGAAAAGACATCTGGGGAAAGAAACAAGCGTCTGGATGAGGAATTCAAAGCCAGGTCATCCTCAGGGGTAGATGTTAACAGTGGCTCAACAGGTTCAGGGAAAAGTAGTGTCAATGATGGCACCCAAGCACAAATCAACACAGAATGTGAAGTCCTGGAAACCCTGACAAAGGTACAGGAAGTTGATGAAACAGTAGAAGGGGAAGCTTCAGAAACGCCCGGATCAAATGATGATTCAGCCACTCCAGATATAGCAAATCAAGCTCAGTTAACCCCAGAGACAAAGGACACAGATGAAGGAAAGCTAAAAGATGATGTCCCAGGCTCTGAAGAGACAATCAGGAGTAATGATAGTCCAAGGGAACTCATTGAAACACCTCTTTCCTCAAACAAGAGTTCTGGGAATAATCCCAAAAAAGAGGAAACCGAATCAGACCGTCAAGAGGACACAAGTTCAGGCAGTGCTCCAAAACAACAAAGAGGTCAGTTATCAAAAAGGCTTTTTCAAGACCCAGATCCTGTATGGGTTCTGAATTTATTGAACAAATTAGAAAAGCAATTTATGACACATTATGTTAACGCAATGGTTGAGTTCAAAGTCCGTTGGAATCTGAATGACAACGAGCAACTTGATGCCATGATATGCGAATTGCAAGATGAAGTCCGCAGACGGATACAATCGAGTATAGACAGGGAGCTAAAGAAAATCCAAGGCAGAGCTGGAAGACCAAGACCACCAAAAGACACAATGTCACGTGAATCTACCATTCAAACAGAGCAAAGGCGAAGACGTCTGAAAGTAATGCGCAACCAATCAGTTGATCCACAACCTGCTAAAAGTGACGATGATTATACAATGACAGGAACCGATTTCAGCGATCAACGTAGCGATGATGAATATTGTCCTTGTGACACATGCTTGAAAAAGAAAATGGCATCCAAGCATGTGTTACCTGTGGAAATGCTTAATTCTGCCCCTGTGATGATGGACTTTGATTTAAGAAGAATTCTCCAGATGAAGAAATCGTCTCCAAACAATGAAAAGATTGAGGAGACTGCCAATGAACAAGCAAGTGAGATGGAAGGAGAAAATGCAGGGCTTGAGGCTGTCAAAGAAGAGGATGAGAAAGAGGGGGCAGATAAAGAAATTCTTGCTTCCAGTGCTCAAGAAATTGAAGATGAAAAACAAGAATGTGAGGAGGGTGAAGAAGAAGACAGTGCCTCTAGCTCTTATGTAGAAGATAGTTCAGAAAAACAATCAAATACACCCAGACATTTAAAGAGAGATGTGGATGAAATTGCTGAGATGTCTGTTAACACAATGACTGTGCAACAAGATGAAGAGCAAGAAGAGACTGAGACTAATTCTGATTTAATGGCTGTCAAAGAAAGTGCAAGCAGTTGTAAGATTAATGAATTAGATGAAGACCTGGCAAATGATGACGTTAGTGAATTTGATGACATAATGCAAACTGAAGCAGCAAAGGAGGAAGCATCTGAAGAACACACTGAGGACGAATCAGAACAGCAGGACAAGACAGCTGATGATGAAACTGCTGAAGAAGGGCAAAACACAGGAACCGAATCTGTTGAAGAGGGTGAGGCCACTGCTGAAGCAGTAGCTGCTGGAGAGAATGACATAGCTGGTTGTGACACTGCAGGAGAAGGTGAGACAGCTGAGGGTGAGACAGCAGAAGATGGACAAATGGCTGAATACAAAACTTCAAGAGATGGTGAGGCAGCAGAAGATGAAACTGCAGAAGATGGACAAACTGCAGAAGCAGAAAGCACTGCAGAAAATGGACAAACTTCTGAAGATGTAACTGGAGAAGAATGTGAGACTGTTAATGATGACAATGCAAAAGAGCATGAGATGGCTGAAAATGAAGTTCTGGAAGATGGACAAACTGCCGAAGATGAAACTGGAGAAGAAGGTGAGACCATTAATGACGAGATTGTAGAAGTGCATGAGACATCTGAAAATGAAACTGCAGAAGATGGACAAACTACTGAAGATGAAACTGTAGAAGAAGGTGAGACCGTTAATGATGATACTGCAGAAGTGGAGGAGACGGCTCAAAGTGAAACTGCAGAAGATGGACAAACTGCTGAAGATGAAACTGGAGAAGAAGGTGAGACAGTTAATAAAGACACTGCAGAAGAGCAAGAGACAGCTGAAAGTGAAACTGCAGAAGATGGACAAACTGCTGAAGATGAAACTGGAGAAGAAGGTGAGACAGTTGATAAAGACACTGCAGAAGAGCAAGAGACAGCTGAAAGTGAAACTGCAGAAGATGGACAAACTGCTGAAGATGAAACTGGAGAAGAAGGTGAAACGGTTAATAAAGACACTGCAGAAGAGCATGAGACAGCTGAAAGTGAAACTGCAGAAGATGGACAAACTGCTGAAGATGAAACTGGAGAAGAAGGTGAAACGGTTAATAAAGACACTGCAGAAGAGCATGAGACAGCTGAAAGTGAAACTGCAGAAGATGGACAAACTGCTGAAGATGAAACTGGAGAAGAAGGTGAGACAGTTAATGAAGACAGTGCAGAAGAGCATGACAGCTGAAAATGAAATGGCAGAAGATGGACAAACTGCTGAAGATGAAAGTAGAGGCGGAGATGCGACAGTTACTGAAGACGCTGCAGAAGTGCATGAGAGAGTTGAAAATGAAACTGTAGAAGAATGCCAAACTGAAGATGAAACTGGAGAAGAAGTTGAGACAATAAACAACGACACTACAGAAGAGCATGAGACCGCTGAAAATGGAGAAAGTGATGAAGATAAAACTGCAGAAGAAGGTGAGACGACTGAAGATAAAACTTCAGAAGATGGACAAACTGCTGAAGCAGAAACTGTTGGAGAGGATGAAATAACTGAAGATGAAACTGCAGGGGAGGGTGAGGCATCAGCTAAAAATGAATCTATAGAAGGAGAGACTGCTGAAGCTGAAACTGAGAGCAATATAGGTGATGATGAAACTGCAGAAAAGAGTGAGACAGCTGATAACAACACTGTAGAAGAGCATGAGACGGCTGAGAATAAATCTGTAGAAGACAGGCAAGCTGAAACTGCAAGAGAGAGTGATTCAGGTGAGGAGGACACCGCAAAAGAGAGTGAGACAGCTGAGGATGAAATGGCAGAAAATGGCCAAACTGCTTAAGCAAGAGAGGGTGAGACAGTTGGTGATGAACCAGCAGAAGATGAGCAGAATACAGAAGCTGATGCAGGCGAGGGAGATACAGCTGATAATGAAGCTGTAGATGACGAGCAAACTGCTGAAGAGAGTGAGACAGCTGAAGATGAAACAGAAGCAGAGAGAGATACTGCGGAGGGGACATCGGTTGAAGAAAGAGGAACTGATGTACAAAGAGCCAATGAAGATGAAGACAACACAGATTATTCAGGAACTGCAGGAGGTGTGTCAGTTGAGGAAAAAGAGACTTCTGAAGTAGAAACAGCAGATGAGAGGACCACTGAAGCTGAAACTGAGATGTCTGAAGAGAAAGCTACTGTTGAAGATAGCAACACGGCTGTAGACAAGAATGCTGTGGTAGAGTTGGCAGAGCAAACTCCTGATCATGAGACGACTGGAGAAGAGACGGACAAGAGTCAGTCAAATGATGAGGAAGACAGGGAAACTGTCAGTTGTGAAGCAGAGGAGGATGTTCTTTCTCACATTGAGGACACTGAGAGTCATGATGTCTTGACTAATCATGCGGTAATTGAAGATGAAACACCCCTTAAGAACAATGGTGACATTGTTCTAGATAGTGTTGATGATAAAGGTGAAGAAAGTGATAAAGAAGATGATAATGTGGAGGTAATGGCAAACAAAGCTGGTTATGTGGCCAACACTGGTGAATCAGCTGAAGCTGGTGATGAAGCTGAGGATGACACAGAGCCAGATGTGGAGACAGATGAAGGGGAGCATAATAGGAACGCTCTACCTTTACAGCCTCTGTTACAGCCAAAACCGAAAGATGACAAACCAGATGGAGCAACTTCATTTAATGTTTTGGTAAAGCACAATTCAGAGTTTGAAGATGGTGCCGATGCTGATGTAGAAGACTCAGAAACAGAAGAACACAACCAAGTCATAGATTTGAGTTCCGAGTCAGAGAGCAAGCCACAGAGGAAAACTGCACATAAAACCTTCAAGATGCTCATTCACACTCTGAATTTCCTCAAACTCTCAGCCGCTGGACTACCAAAGAGCAGGGAAGAGGATAATGAACATGAGGTTGAAGATGAAGAGATTCCAGAAGACGGCAGTGATGATGCAGAAGAGAGTTCCTGTGTGGAGAAAGATGAGGTGGAAGAGAATGGAAAGGAGAAGGGCAAACTCTCAGATATTACAGAGGACACAGCAGAATCTGAGGAGGACCAGACAAATGAGACTAGTGATGATTCAGAGGACCATGAATGGGAATCATCTGAAAATTCCTTGCAAAAGCAGATGATAAAGTCATCCCTGGAATCTCAGCCAGGTTCCTTTGAGGAAGTTCACGAGGAACAGGCAAAAAATCAGAAAGGTTTAAATCATCTGAAAGCCAACTGGTAGAATCCTTCTTCAGCATAAAAGAAAAGAACCAAAGATGCTCTTTAGCATGTAAAAATGGTTCCAGAGGGGTTATTTCTCTATTATCCTTAGACCTTATAATCATTATCATAAGTTAGCCCTTTGGATTCCTTATTTTATTTATCAAAGAGTAACATATAATGCACTTTACTTATTATTCACTTGTGATTCCATTATATATGCAGATTATATATGCAAAAGCACAGCATTACTGCTCAGGTACTGTAAAAAGGGAACTGCTGAAACTTGAACAGCACATAAATCTCTTCTAACTTGATGGAAGGAAAATTGTTTAGAATTTTAGTATATTTATGTCAGAACAACATATTGCAGTTATTTATATAATTCACTCAGTTGTAAGCCTTAGCCATTGGAGGGACTGTTGACAAGGGTTAATTATGCATCATAGTTACTGTATCATACTGTATATGTATGTACTGCTATACAAATGTTCCACAGTGTAAATGAAAAATCACACATCAGAGTGACATGTAATGGAAATCAGGGGCATAAACTGTGGTTATGAGTGCACGAGAATGAATGTATATTGAACATATTTGAATCTGAATGTTTGTTTCATTGTAGCAATATGAATGATCTAATTTACTCGTAGGTTGCTTGTGGGAGAGCATACCTTTAAAAAACAAAAAATTTTTTATCCCTGCTAAAACATGAGATGTCCATTCCATCTGACTTAGTCAGAATATGTATACTAATGCTTACTTTTAAAGTAAGTGCACTTAATGCAGATGTATATGATTGACATCACCAGAAATCACCAATATGCAGCATATTGTGTATTATAAGGATTGAGGTGCACACATCAAGCCATGCCTTAGATGTTTTGCCACATAAAGAACTGTACATCTAATGGACTATGTTGTCTGTTTTGTTCACACAAAACTCTAATGTAAAGTGATGCAGATGCAAATGTGGTTCCTTCATTGCAGTTTCTTTTCTGCTGGCCAAACGCTTAATGGTTAACTGAAATACAATACATTCCTTGTTACTTGAATGTACTAATTTCCTGCCTGAAATAAATACTGTATATTCAAGCTTAAATTGTTTTTATTTATTTATTTATTGTTAGTTGTCAAGCAAAAAGGTTGAGTTCTAAAAAAAAAAAAAAAGAACATTTTCCAGTTTTAAAAGAAGGCTCAAATTTCTAGGATGTACGTCTACATATAGAATCCTTCCAGAGGGATGTTGAATAATTGAATTATGGGGTCATTATGTTATTTAAGTTTGTCACTAGCAAGCATTAGCACTATAATAATGACTCCCTGTAGATACTTTTGGCCTGAGCTGATGGTGAAATAGACTTTCATTACTCTCTAATCTCTCTATAACTAATTTTCACTTGTCTTCCAGTGAAATGCATATTCTGTGACAGACACCTGCCACTCTATTACTCTTCACTAAATCAACTGTCTACTTCCATTACAAAAGCCCTGTTGCTTTGGTCATGGTGCCTTTCAGAAGTTTTCAATAAGAGGGAAATTATTTCAAGGGAGCTGACTTTGTCTCTGACCCTTCAATAGATCATACCATGACATTCATGACACAATAAAAAATACCCCCTGAAAATATTGAAGGTGAAAATCAGCAAACTATTAATAACCTGACCCACCTCATCCATCAACCACCTAGTTAAGAGTCAATTCCCAGCCAGTGAGACATCTGAAACAACCTGCATTTTGTTTTTGCTCTCCAACTTTGCTGTTTTTAACAGGCCGGCCGGTTTGCTGAACCGGGTCAGAGCCCAAGGATCCCACGACAAGTCCAATTACTCAAGTTAACGCCCCCCAAAACAGCATCACCTGTCCAGTCCATTAGTCTAATATAGATATTTGTAGACTAAATTGTGTGTATATTCAGGGACTTTTAATTACTGTCTCTTTCTGACAGGTAAGTGTGTGGCTGGTTATTTGAAACTGTCCTAAGAGACTTCATTCCCTGCCTTTGCTTGCTGGAGTCATAGGTATATACAGCCCCATTGGACAAGTCTGATGGATGGTCCTCTCTTGTTGAGTTTCCATCCTCTGCTTCCGGAGGGAACGTGACATAAATAATTGGTGTCACTCCCATCGACCGAGTGCCACACTCGAAGGCGGGGCTGAAGCCGCTGACAAAACACAGCTGTCTAATCTCACCAAGTTCTCACCATATCCTAGAGTGCCTTCCATCTCCTTACAGAGAGACGATGAGGCCATTTGCATTTTAGCATCATGTAAAACAAGACTAGAGGAAGAACATAAATAATAGCCAGTATGCAGGCAATACAGAACTTAGGTTATTGCTTTAACTTTTAACTTTATTTGTAATAGTACACAAAGATTTGATAGCTTTATACTCAAATGTTGCAACAGAAATTGCAGAAATATATATATATATATATATATTTTTTTTT